TATATATATATATATATATATATATATATCTTTATTAATCTACATAATTTTTAATATGTAAAAATATTTTATATAAATAATTAATATTTAGAGAATTACTTCAATACCTCGTACATATTCCAAAATGTAACATAATATTTATAAATATATATATATATTTATATAAAATATTTTTACATATTAAATATTATGTAGATTAATAATGATATGAAACAGAAAATTTTACAAAATAAATAAATTAAATAAAATAATGACTTTGTAAGCTGATAAATATATAACACAAAAAATAAAACATACAAAAATAATTTAGTCTAAATTTGCTTTAAAAAAAAAAAAAATAATAAAAATAAATAAAAAATAGTTTAGTCTAAATTTAGTCTAAAGATAAAAAAAACAAAAAATAAAAAATAGTTTAGTCTAAATTTAGTCTAAAGATAAAAATTGATATACAGAATAAATGAGAGAGAGACTTCAGCTCTCTATTTCCATATTATTAATAATTACCTTTTCTTAAATATACATATGTATATAAAAACACATATATTATATAAGTTATATGCTTCAATCCACCTATTTGGCTACGCAATCATTATACCCCACTTTGGCAGCTCCATTTTTCTAGGCGCACTACGTTGTAGAAAAAGTCAGCTTGGAAAACACCTGAAAGTTGAGCAGGTGGCAGCTTTTGTTGTTGTTGTTGTTGCTGGGCAGCCCGCGTGGCTTTTTGCATTTGCCGTTGACATTTAGTGCGACGCTTGCAAGATGCGCCAACAGCAACAACAATGTGGCAAGACATGAAAGCAGCTCTGGTAGCTCCCCGCTTCAGCTATTTCTCCCCGAAAAAAAAACAACAACAAAGAAAAATGAAAATAAAAAGAGCGCGGCATTTGCGTCCGTTTGCTGAATTTGGCCAAAATGTCTATAGTTCAATTGCTGATATTTGACTGTGGCACACGAAAAAGCCGCAACACACTAAACACGTGACCTATGCGAGGCAACCGCCAAGCGGCTCAGCCGATAGCATGCGATAGAAATGGACGCGTGACACGCAACACGATGTGCTGAGGCAGTTAAGAATAGAACTAAAAATAATTATAATAATAATAATACTAATAATAATAGTAATAATAATAGTAATAATAATAACAATAGCAATAACAATCATATCGAGTTTGTGCTACAAATTGTTGCTTAATTCGATTTGCAGTCGAGTGTGCAGCTCTTGAGCTAGAGATGGTTGCGTGACATGCGATAGTTCGTGAGAAATGCATATAGACTAGTCAGTTAGCTTTATCATATATACCATATGGTATGTATATAAATGTCTTTGTCGCTCTGGCTAAACAAATTGTTGTTTAGATTTAATTCTTGATAACAATAAATAAATAAATAAATAAATAGTA